CGCCTCCCATCAGCAAGCCACCCCCTGGCTTCTCCGGCCTCCTGCCCGGCCCCCACTCAGCCTGCACCCCCAGCCCACCCCCTGCCACAAAAGCGTAAGTGTGGGTGGGCTGCTGCCTTACGTCATGGGGTGGGACAGGGTGACCTGAGCCAGGCCAAGACCGAAGCCTCTCCCTCGTCCTCCCTATCTGATCTCGGACCCCAGGCCCAGGCCGACACCCGTGGCTCATGCCTACCTGGTACCTGAGAACTTCCGGGAGAGGAACTTGCAGCTCACGCAGTCCATCAAGGACTTCCTGCACAGCGATGAAGCCCGCTTTGGAGAGTTCAAGAGCCGCTCGGGGGAGTTCAGACAGGTCAGGCTGCCGGGAGGAGGCAGGCCGGGAGGCGGCCATCTGGGCCAGGCCGGGCCGGGCTGGACATAATCGGTCTGGCTCTCCGCTGTCAGGGTGTGATCTCCGCGGCTCAGTACTACAGGACCTGCCGGGACCTGCTTGGACAGGACTTCCAGAAGATCTTCCGTGAGCTACTCGTGCTGCTGCCTGATACGGCCAAGCAGCAGGAGCTGCTGTCAGCGCACACAGACTTCCGCAGCCAGGAGGGGCCCCCGGGCCCTAGGTCCAAGAGGAACAGGAAGAGCCCGTGGCAGACCCGTGCCCAGCAGGCAGGCTTGGACTGCTGTGTGTGCCCCACCTGTCAGCAGGTGCTCGCGCACGGAGACGCTGGGAGCCACCAGGCACTGCACGCCGCGCGAGATGACGACTTCCCCTCCCTGCAGGCCATCGCCAGAGTCCTCACGTAGCTGCCACCAGTGTGGGCAGGTGCTGGCATGCGTGAGCTCCTCCCTCCTGCCTTCCTCCTCTGGGCTGTGGCTGCCAGGCAGCCAGGTAAGGCCCTGGCGAGGCCTTCCGCCCAGGCCTTTTGGTGCGCCAGGCCTGCCAGGTGTGACCAGGAGGTCCACCCCGCCCCACCAGCACGCGTCAGCGGAGTGCGGCCCCTGCTAGAGCAGGCCCAGCCTGGTTCCTGCTGTGCTTTTGGAGGTGCCAGGGGAGGGGGAGCCTAGAACGGGACCAGCCCCCGCTGTCAGCCCAGCCTGGGCCCTCCTGGCATGGCACGTGCAGCCTCAGCCGGCGTGGGTCCTCCGGAGCAGATGGGCGTGTCGTGTAAACAGTTGGCTCTTTCACGATTCAGGAGCGTTCAGGATTAAAAGCAGACACGAAATTGTGCTACTTGAAGTTGAGTCTTTTTACAAGACAAGCTGAATCTGGGATCTCAAACTGCCTCTGACCTTTTATAAGACAGTTTATCTTCAAATAAATTTATTTTGCAATAACACACGTAGCTGATGTTCTGAGCCTCTGCCTTCTGAGTCTATCCCAAAGCCAGGGCACTCTGAGACTTGCCCACCTCCAGCTCGGGTGGCCAGCCAGCAAGTTCTGGGGTGAAGAAAGGCCTCGGGGCAGCTGGGCCGCCGGGGTTTGCTCTCAGGCCCCGGGCCCCATCCAGGCCTTGCAGCCACAGGTGTGCTGGGCCGGGCACTTGTCCCTCTACAGAGCTCTGCGGGGTGGGGAGCAGTGTGGAGACTGGGGTCACTGCCACAGAGCAGTGAGGTCTCTCCATGAGATCTAGAGGTGATAGGACCAGGACCCCTGAAATCTGCAGGGGGGCTCTCTCTGCTCATCGGAGGACTAGAAAGCTCCCCATTCTACTCCAACACATAAATCATGGGAAAAGTGTTTAAATACGTGGCCGTGTTCAAGTAAGGTGAGGAAAAGGCTCTTCGAAGAGATGGAGCTGTTTATAGAATAAGCAGAAGTGTGCACCAGTGTGAGGCAGAGGGGCCTGCAGAGGGGCCGGGCCCAGGCCACACAGTTGCATGGCTGCTGCTGGCCGGAGGCCAAGGACTGGGACCTCAGTGGCATCCCGAGGACGGCCCTGCTCAGACCACCAGCTGGCGAGGCCTCCCTCCAGCAGGCTGCTGAGGTCACCTGCACCTCCAGCACGGGAGCAAGGTCTCCCCTGGCCTATGTCCTCAGCGGGTTGCAGGGATCCTGAGCAAGACCTGCATGGCAGAGAGCCGAGCACCGAAAAGAACTGTCAACGCAGGCTGCGTGAGGAGCCCGCTCCGAACTGTTCCGTGTCTGCAGTGGAGCGCGTGTGAACACCACCCAGAGGGAGAGTGAGGGAAGAGCACCCACCACGGGGATGAGTCACCCCACGATCTCCCCGTCCTCCAGTCTGTGGGATCCTGGGTACTCAGGTATGGGCCCAGCGTGCTTCAGGCCAGCTGGGCTGGGGATTCAAACTGCTCCTGGGTGGGGCCCGGCACTGCAGTGGGCTAGCCTGCTGA